CCCAAGCCCGTCCCAGAGCCGTGCTGCTCTGACGCCCGGTGAGCTCGGCTCTTATTCATGTTCAGGAATGGGAGGGTCAGGGCCATCGACACACACCAGCATCCTGCTGCCTATTATTTCCTGCCAGCCCTGGCGGCGCACCAAGCCCTAACATGACAGGTGGATGGAGTTCACAAGGAAATAATGTCATGGGCCAGTTTTCCAGGAAAGCTGTTAACTCTATTCACAGACTCGGGCCTTCAGATGGAAAGGGAAGGTGGCTGAGGAGAGGCGGTGAAGGGCTGCTCTGCTGTTATTTATGTTTTTGTCAGGGATTATTCACTGGCATCAGAGATGTTTGCCTCTGCACAGTGCCTGCCTCTTCAAGAGCTGACTGTCCTGAATGCYTTATAACTCACAAACCCACAGGGGCACTGCCTCTGCAAATCCCATGGGGCCATTTGATGTCTGTCAGGCTGCAAAAGATGGTAAAAGTCTGCCTTACGCTGAGCTAAATGGTTCCTGGGGAACAGAAAATAAATATCAGGTGAGATCTAAGGCCAGTGTTAACCTGAGGACTTCAGGCATTTTATGAGAATGAAACTGAGGATTCAGTCCAGGATGGATCAGAAATCACTTACATATTTTTTAAAGTCTCTATCAACAAGGCACATGTGTAAAGCTTTACTATCCTTCCATTCTCTGTGCAGTGTCCAACAGCTGCAGTTGTGTGTTCTTCTCTTTCTTTCCTCTTTTTTTTCTGTGCTTTTAAAATTCAATACTTTTTTTCCTTAGTACAGAACACACAGAAGAGTTAAGAAGAAAAGCAATCAATCCAAAAGAAGCATTTTTCAAAAATGCTATGTTTGCTACAAATGCAAATTTTAGGATGCACAGAGTCAGGACAATAGAACTCCAACTGGCTGCTCACAAGAGGAAGGATTAGGTCCTGTGTCATGTTAATAGTGACATCAACAACCTGAATAAACGCCAAAAATTCAAGTTGATTCTGCAGTTTAAGACCATTGTTTTCCCACATGGTTTAGCCTGTAAGATTTAGTCCACACATAGATTTCTGCCAGGATTTATATTTTGCACATCACACAGTGCAATTCTTGCTATGTAATGTACTTTAATATACAAGAGCTCTTCACGACTGGCAAATATTTATATTGATTAGCTGAAACATCATACAAGCTACAGGCATCAGAAGTATTGGAAATATAAAAGCAAAATTATGTCTGTCAATGCTCAGAAATACTGGTAATATCTGTGCAAAATGATGGCTGCCAATATTGTTCTGCTCTTCTTMTTTTGCAGCCCATTGTAAAAACAAATTAGGTGAAACCTGTTAATAAAATGCAACAGCTTCCATCTCAGATATCAAAGGAGAYAGCCCTGGGTTTGAGTCTGGATAAGCAAAGCTGAGGCAGGAATAAGGGATATTCCAGAGGGCTCGTTCCTGGCCTGACTCTTCCGGATGCTGCTGAGACTCTCAGGCCTCTCTTCGTTCCACACTCYGAGCTGGTTCCTGTTCTCTGGAGCTGCAGTAACACTGTACATTCAGCGTTTGGTAACAGGAGCTCTCCCAAGTGTCCAAGGCAGAGAAACTTAATTCTTGACACAAGTCCATGAAACTAACCTTTCTCTCTCTCTCTCTCTCTCTCTCTGTTGTTTTGGGTTTTTTTTTAAACCTGGAAAATTATGGCATTAGAGCCAGAGTCACGTACAAAACATGACGCATGAAATGACTGGGGAATCGTAAATTGGGCATTTTGGCTTGAACAAAGTTTAGGCATTGTCATACCAAACTGATTATTATTTTAAAATACTGTCCCAGGCTATAACTGTCTTTGTGTACAATAGCAATACAGGGTGTAGTTACAGACACAATTTCCTGTGCTTAGGTTTTGAAATTATTATTTAAGATCGCTGTAACATTTGCTTGGAGCACCAGCGCAATTCCTCTATTAGATAATTTTCTATCCTTGTGAGGGCAGTTTTGCTTGTGCAGCGCTGCCAGGGCTTTCAGGAAGGGAGAGACAAGCAATTGTGACAATAAAATTTGCATCAGCTCCCACCCAGCCTCTCCCAGAAATACCATTTGTCAYGTTCAAAGCCTTTTCACACCAGAAGGGAAGGTGTTTCTCGACTGGAAAGTCACTGTGATCTCCAGATTTCATCCCTCTGCCTCTCAGATTCCCATGAGAAACACCAGACAGCAACCATGGAGTTCCAAATGGTTTTGTATCAAAGACTTGGTGGGCTGCAGCACCCAGCATCCAGGCCTGGAGCCTCAAATCAATCCAGAGGAGGTCATGGGGTTCAAAATTTGAAGCAGAAAATTTGGTTGGGCTTTAAGGGCTAAGAAGGATGTATTGTTCCAGGGTGTGCAGGAAGAGAGAGGATAAAAATGAAAATATCTGAAATATATAGATTTGCAAGAAGAAAAAGAACCAAAGACCATGAGCGTTGGGTTGGATGTCATCACTGGTCAGTGAGAAAAGATGCTCCTGCTGCTTCAGAGTAGCCCCAAATCAATGCAGACAAATCACAGGGGAGAAATTACCAAGGCCATGTGAACACTTAGTGATGAAACCTCTGAGAACAACTTCAACAGCATAAAAATCTCTGCTTGAACTGCTCACAACCTTGCTTTGCTCCTGAGGACACCAGGGCCAAGTGCTGCTGGGATTCCTCCCCACGCAGTAACTGTTTTGCATTGTGAGTAAAGAGCCAACACGGCTGAATTGCTGCACAGCCTTTTACTCAGCGCTCAGTATGAAGATGTTTGTGCAGGTACCTTATCTTTAAGGGATCCAGACAAAGTTCAGCAGCCCCAGATCACCCAGAGGCCTTCCAGCCTGTCACTCAGGTGGCACTGCAGGACACCAGGGTGTCCCTGAAGCTTTGCTGTGCCAGGGGATCATGTCTGGGGCCACTGCAATGTTCCTGTCATGCTCACAGGCTGGGTGATGCCCAGGTGATGCCCCACAGGGCAGAGGGCAGTGCAGGAACTCTGCTGTGTCCTTGCCTACGCACTGCAAATGTCACAGAGAGCAGAGATAAGGGAAAGGAAATCACCTCTGGTATTAGCAGAACAACTCTTATTTATCCTTCCTGAAAAAAACTGCTCCAACAACCCCACTGTCTCCTTTCCATTGAGTTTGGCTTTTCTTTTTTACCTTGTACCTCTGCCTTCCCTCCCCAGCGGTGACAAAGGGAGCACCCACATRTGGGAARGAYTYCTGRAGAGGGYCACRGGCTGCKCCTGCCCTGGGCTCAGCCTGGGGATTGTGGACCCAAGCTGGAAACCCCTTTTCCACATTTCTACAGCCCCTGCCATTCTCTCCTCAGCAGCCCCCAAAATTCCACTGAGGAAAAAAAGAAATAGGGAGGGGGAAGAAAGAGTCAGAAAAACTATTGTATTCCTGGGAGGGGGGAAAGATAAACAGCTCTATTTAGCTTATCCAGCTTTGCTGATGTCAATCACTTTTCTCATTTTAAACAGGAAAGACACCACTTTAGTCCACCTGTTCCATTATTTATCATGCTATGCATTTCCCATGAATTGTCACTCATGCAAAACCTGTACATCGTAAGGGGACACCCTAATATTTTTAATGACCTTAAGCAAAGTGATTGACACTAGACACCGGTGTCAGATGTTCTGGTGACGCAACATGTTCTCCTAGCAGCAGGAAAGCTTCCTGCCGTGATTAAGTGAGGGCTATGGAAGTGCTAAAATGTGTTGTCAGCTTTCCTCTGATGCAAGTGATTTTATTATAGCGTCTGGTAACCACGGAGTGTGGCAACGCAAATACTGACCCCAAACATCCCCTCCCGCACATATAGCTCGCTCTATTTAAAACACGAGGTGCACTCTGCAAATCCGGGGATAAGTTATGGATGTAACGAGCTTAAACCACGGAGGGCAGAGGAAATGGCAGCACTTCAGCCGGAATTCCTGGGTGCTTTCAGAGGGAGAAGAGCAGGGATTCAGGATGGGCTGAAGATKGGACCCCCTGCAGCACCTCTTTGGCAGCATCACCAAAGCTGTGCTGGCTGCCAGAGGCTCTGAGGGCACTGAGGGGGCACAGGCCTGGCTCACCTTGGTAGTGGAAAGCAAAAATCACACCCAGCCCCTGGAGAAGGCAAGGGGGGAAAAAAAAACAGACAAAAAAAGAGGGGCATGCAGCCCCTCTGCCTTCTCCACACCGGGGTGGAACACTGACTCAGCTCAGCACCACTCGTCCTTCACAAAGGAGAAATCATGCTCTGGTTTGCTTCAGTTTGGGACAAGCCCCCAAATAATGCATTACCTGAGAAATKGAAGACCTCTAGAACTCAGGAGTTACAGAATCAACACCTCAGCCACAGTCAGGGGACACCTGGCACCTGCTTTTCATGAAGATTCATATCCCAAAGCTCAGTCAGCAAACACTACACACATGGCTTTGCTTCCACATGTTMTTATTAATAGTTGTGTCTCAAACTGACTGTGCCAGAGAGTGTCTGCAGAACTGTCTGCTATGATTTTGCAAAAACAGAGCTGTTAATCAAGCTGCAGAGGGATGGACTATCAAACCAAAGTCCACGAGCTGCAGAGGTTTTTGTAAGAGATCAGCAATACATGTGTTCACAGTTATTGTCACAGGGGTTGTTCTACAAAAATAGARACATAAAGCAGTCTGAGTTGAAGAAACAAGCTGTCTTGATAGCATTAAAGGAAGATGTTCTAAAGGTCTAGCAGCACTGAATATTATTTTAATGAAATTTATTTTCAATTTTATAGCAAAATAATCAAAGGTGCTAAACCTGACCACTTTAATTTACAAAAAAGTCTCATKTTTTAAGCTATGATCATACCTCGTTATTCAGGTTAGACAATATAATTACACATTTCTACTGATTTCTATTCAATAATAAAACAAGATCAATATTAGTTGGTTTAAAAAAAGGGGAAAGTACCACAGGTATTGTGAGGGGAAAGTTACATAAAATATAACAATCAGCTTATTGAGCAATTTGCAATGTGTTCTTATTGCCTTTTTTTTTTTAGCTACAGTTTTAGTCCCAGATACTCTGGCCATAAGCTTCCAGTCACTTCAAATGCTATGACTTCTCCCTTGGTCAAATGTCAGGGTTTTAAGGAGATCTCTGGCATTTCAAGTCAGTTCAAATTATTTCCTTAGCTCCCACAAGTTCCCTTTCCAACACGATCAGCATGTTGGAGAACGCAGTTAGGATGGCTGCAGTTATGACGATACAGCTTTTTGTAAAGGAAAAATGAGTTTTCCTCCGTCTTGGAAAGAATCACTACTAAGTCTGCAGTAACAGAAATATTAAGAGCACTTGCAGAGTTGTTAAGAGCATTTCTTAATCCATTCCATTTTCATTTCAGTTTGTTTCCACAGTTAAATTAAAACCTGCAATCTCTCCTACTGATAAATAGCCGGGTTGACTTACAAAGGTTCTGCCTTCCGTCGGTTGCCTTTAGCCAAACAAGGTTCTCTGGTTTGCCACCAGCGCCGTCTGGCTCTCCCTCCTCTTCGCCTTCTTCTTCTGCTGCCTGATCTTCCAGCACACRGCGCTGGAAGCCAGCAGAACGAGTCCTGAGGACAAGAGCACCAGGCCAAAGACAGAGATGATGGATCCATGGGAGTTGAAGCTGTAGGCCACYGAGGTGACCACGATGCCGGCGATCAGGATGACCACGCCGAAGGGGATGGTGCAGCGGTAGCACGAGAGCTCTGCCCCGCCCGTGGCGGCCGTCAGCTGGCACTCRCTGACCAGGGGGATGGTGGTTATCACACAGTCATTGTTGTTGCTTTTCTCTGGGGGGATGGAATCGGGGTGTTTTGGGGTGCCCAGGATCTCTTTGATAGGTTCGTTTGTCATCTTGATTGCCTGATTTGGTCAGGTCTCAGGCTAGAGCAGGCTCTGCTGAGCACGCGCTGCGCTGCGGAGAGAAGAGCRTGAATTCATCAATAATTATCAATCCTTTATGTGACAAGGGGGGACACAGAAGCATCCCCCAGGCATCACAAACAACCAGACATTCAGACCCCACAAGGATTTATGCACAAGATCAGTAGGRACACTGCTGATTGTGAAGGATACGAATCCATTTTTACAGTAGTCAGCAATATGTATGTAAGTGCTAGAAAGAAAAGAGTCACAGACCAAGACAGACACCAACAGCAAAGTTTTGGGGGCCAAATCCTACAATAAGTGACACCCTAAAGTCGGTATTTCTGAGTGTAATTTAGATTTCAATGACATTACATTTTCTCACAAAGAAGTGAAGTTCCCAGACTGTTTTGATTTTTGCTCACACACTTTTTCCACGCTATTTATACACCTGCACACAAWACATTACACACATTTGCTCCACTGCACATCCCAGTAACATGGTCAAGCACTAGCCCAGCAAAAACCAGGATGAACAGTGAGTTTCTCAGGGGGAAAAATCTGAAATGGTCATGGCAAGCTGTAGATGTGGGGGGATACAGACAGGCCCCTGCAATCAGCTCAGCTCAGGGCTGGTGAACCTCCCATTAYAGAAACATCAGTGCCAGACTGACAGCTTGCCATTTTCACTGGCTTAATGCAAAAGCAATAGTTCTCTGGTAAGTCCATGAAATCACATCCCTGTGACTGTGTGGGAGGGAGATTKACCGTCATATTCCCTCATCTCAGTTACAGCAGGTTGTTCTCCTCCTGTCTCCATGCTGTAAACACACTCTCAGCCCTGCCAGCAGGCACAGTTTGCATCTGCACAGGAATATTTTGGTTCTGGGGAGCCCAGGGAACAATCAGAGCCCGCCTGATCAGGGCAAGAGGAGCTCATGGCTCTCCACCACTCCAGGCTGCCATGACAAAGCTTGGCCTTATCTCTGGGGTCACTCAGTGACCACTGCCAACACTGAGGTGGCCACGGATGGGCTGTCCTGGACCAGGCTGTGTGCTGCAGTGCACCCCAGAATATGCTCCAGACACTAATTTTCCTGCTGTGAGCAGCTCCCAGGACTCTTCCACCATTGTCTGGTGTGGGCTGTGCCGCTTTTGCTTTCATGAGCAGCATGATATGCAGCTCAGAGAACAAGGAAGAGCGCTGGCAATGCWGTAATGCTTTTATCACTTTTATCACCTTCACATCTGTGACTAGGAAGTTAATTGCCAGATACTTGTATTCTCCTTTTCCTTTCCCACCACTCCACCCTTGTTGCTAAGATAAATTCGTTCATTGTGGAGAGCCTTGGTTTTATATCTCAGTACCTCCTACAACTGACCATGGGTTTTGCAAGAAAGAGAATTTCACTGTTTTTAAACACAGCCACAAACAGGCTAAAGGCTGCATGCAGTCAGAGTTTGTCTACCAAGTCTCCTTGAACCCTCTAGAGAGAAGGAAAGCTCAGATCTGGTTTGCCAAAGCTTTTGTTCTGCTGCTCTGGGAGGGAGTTCTCAGCTCCCTGTTGTATTTRCTGTGCAGAGCTGCTTTGTGAGCTCAGCCCTGCCAGGGGAGCCTGTCCCTGCTGAGCACACCCAGCACAGGGACAGCCTGAGAGGCAACAGCCACTCACTGAAATGCTGATCACCAGGAAACTTTTTTACTCTCAGGGTAACTGAGSACTGGAACCCAGTGAGGTTTTGGAATCTGTACCCATGGAGATATTCAAAGCCAACTGCACAGCCCTGGGCAGTCTTGTCCAGGTGACCCTGCGGGGTTGGACCAAATGAGCTCCAGAGGTTCCTTCCAGCTACCACCGTTCCATGGTTCTGCCTGTTTCTGTGAGAGGATTTGGGATCTCCAAGTGCAGGAAGGGGATTTGTTCAGTGCTTATCAAACAAAGCAAATATATCTGTGCTGACACCTCAGGTATCCTGAATTCTCCTAGCTTTGGTAGCTTTGTTCTTTGAATCATACCACATCATTAAATGTCTTTTAAATCAGAAGGGAAGAGCCCAGGAAAGCCATGGATTTGCTCTCAAGTGCCACAGATCTGTTCCCACATGGATCTGAGCCCAAATCCTTTATTTTCAACAACGACTGACACAGCAGCAAGACTTACACTGCCATTACAATGTGCCATTACGTTGCTGCATAAAACCTTACAGAAGTTCAGCACRGCATGAGAATCTGTTCCCCAAATGTCACCTTTTTTTGACCTTACCATCAGCCATATTCAATTAGTTTAACATTTTATTATTAAATTGTTGATATCATTTATAATTCAATAAATTAAACTATCGAGGGAGAAAAAAATTAACTATTTTCCATATAAAAGGTCTATTGGTTCAAATATACCGTAATAACTATTCAAAAGTCTAAGTACTCTAACAGCCACTGAAAAAGGCAAACTTCCCAAGTACTTCAAAAAGCCCGGAATAAACATAATTATTATTCTGAAAAACTTCAACYGTCAATCAAAATATGTTTACTTCTTGTCCCTCTGCTTCAGATCCRTCTTCAATGACTATTAAAATATCCCAGATCTCTATTACAGAGATTTATGAAGAAAGGAGGTATATTTATACAGTGAAATCTAACAGGAATAAAAAAAACATTCTAATGTATAGTAATAAAGTCAATGGCAAAATACCTGTTGATTTCTGAGGAGCGGAGTTTTTGCCTGGAATAGGATGTGAGCAGGCAGGCATTCATATTAAACAAACAAACATCCCYCTGTTGAAATACTATTACATTAAATAAACAACAGAACCTATTTGAAGCGTGAGCAAAGGTATTCAGCCCTAGAAAAAAGGGCACTGGATCCTCATCGCCAGCAAAGTCACTTCTGACTTACGCCAACAGGTGATTTGGTTCAAGTTTCAGAGCAAGAAATTTAGGCAAAGATACCCAGCAACACCAGCATCCTCTCACTAATCATACCACAAGTACTATCTTAAGGAGCTGCTTGGAGTTGGAGGAAGAATGTGCTTCTGTGGCAATCTGTGGAGAGGAAATTTTTAGCCACGAATAAGCGTAAGTTGAGATTGACCAAGAAGAGGTGATATCCATCAGCACACACACCTACCAGATCCAGGAGAAATCCATGGTGAGAGATCCTTGGCTCAGAAAGCAGAGGAACAGTGCTGAAGGTGTCTTGTWTGATGATTCAAGGCAGAAAGAGCTGCTTGAAGCTTTGAAGGGTCAGATGTTGCTCAATGATGGATTGGAGGTGACAATATTCTAGCGTGGAAGTTTCCTACAAGAAAAGTGGTTGGATATTTATCAGCTTCTTGAGAATGAAACTCTTGAGTGGAAAAGCTTCTGCTGTGGGCTGACTCCTGCTCCTCACCCAACCAAAGCAGGAGATGATCTCCTSTGGCTCTCCCCTAGTGGCTTCTGCTTCTTTTCTTGGCAGCAGCCACCCATTTCTGGCCCTATGTAACATTTTCCTTTGATGATGTGATGTCTCAATAGTGAGTATCATAACCCAATCAAATCTCCCAGACAGAGYAAGGCAGGAAAAGGCAGTGCAAATGAATTTCTGTAGTTAAAAATATCATTTAACCTGATTTCTATTGCTCACTTCACCTATGTGAATAATGATCCAGAATACCTGGGGTTTTTTGTCTCTTCTATGTGTCCATTGCAAATAATTTCATCTCCCTGTTCCTCAGTTTTCCTAGATGAGAACTGACCATGACAACACACTTGCCACTAAAAAAACCTTTTCAAACTACTCCAYTATAACAAAACCTAAATAATATTACCCCAAAAACTCATTTCAGGAAATAAAAAAGGCAAACTAGCAGAGTCCAAGAATTCACTGTAATAACGTAAGTCCATTATATTTACTGTTGTTCATTTCTGTTATTGGATTTTTAAAAACAAGATACGTAACTCCAGCAAGGACAAGGCGGACTCTGCAGCAGGGCAGTGACGACTCTACAGAAAGCAGAGCGATGGAAATTGTTATCAACTACAGAAACAGCTGTGAAGTCACCAGGCAGCTGGGTAAAACTTATGAAGCAGCAGAGATTTATGTTGCTAATCTTATTTGACATTCCCTTTCTGGAAGTGCATGATCATGGAAGATCATTTCCACACTGAAGCAGGAGTCCTAAGTGGCGATGAGAGTAAATTCATGAGAATAAGTTTGTATAATGATAAACTTTCAGGGTTCTGGTTTAAAGTTATTTAGATCCTACTAGCATTTCATAAACACAAACATTTACAGGCACAAACTGCTGCTGTTCTCCAGGAGTTCCTTGGAATAAGCCTGTGACATAGCYAAAGTATATTTAGCCAGTTATTGAAGTTAGCTAATAATAAGGAAGTCTCCTTGYTTATCTCCATGACTATATACTTTCACACACTACCTAGCAAGTAGTTTAACTTTTCGAAAAGTGTGGAGGGAAAAGCAGGGAAAAAAGTCCTCACTTCAGATAAATAATCTAGATTTCATTAAAACCAACACAGACGTCTGAAATGTGCTTGCAGTCAACTTCCACCCGGATTACAGCAAGGTTTCATTCGTTTGAAAAGCTCTTCCCAGCGCAATTGTGCCCCCTAAGCCACTCCGCCAGCATCTTCATTGCTAAAGATTCATTGCTCTGTCAGTTATTTATTCATATTTATCTGTGACTACACACAGTTTAGGTAAATTTTTAAAAATTAATTTCTTTATCAAAAATTCCAACTGACAGAGCAACTTTTTGAGATGCGGTTTCTTCCCTTCTTCCCTCCCTCACCACAAAGCTGAGAAGCAGAACCACAAGAAATCTCCACATGAACCTTCCAGTGTTTTAACTCGGAATCATTTCAGTCTGGTGCTCTCTCAGGAGGCTTCCCAAATACAGAATATCTCTGTGCAAGGGCAAAGAGCCACTACAACCCTTTCCCCTTTTTCCCATTTCACTCATAACCAATGGGACCCATTTGAGTTTTCCGCTTTCAGGCTCTGGACCCGATTCTCTCTGTCTTGCACAACACCTCAGAAACCCTCTTTTGCTTATGCAAAATCCCAATAAATCAGAATGCTCACACTTGGCTATGAATTAAAGTGAAGGGAAAACAGCACAAGGAGTCCCTTCTGTCCCGAGAGGAGAGCCTGAGTTCATTCAGAATTCAACAGACTATCGTAATCCTCAGCACAATCCCGCAGCTCTTCCCCAGGTGAACACTCCTGGAAACACACAACCAGGATTTGTACTTCCAGTATTCCAGATCAAGCCCTGAGCTATAGAGGCAGGAGAAGAACACAMMGCCTCCATACCGGCTGCCTGAGCCTCAGGATGCAGKAAGTTTTTAGGTAAAATCACGAACAGATTTAAGCTCTCGCACCTTTTTCATTTTCCCGACATAACCGGGGGATAGGATGGGAGCCACCCCAACCCCTCCACAAATTGTTATCTGCCAACTGCAAAACTTTCAAAGGCGCCCGCTACACGCCACACACACACCTGGGGTAAAAMCCTGCTTGTCCCCGAGCATTTCTGCAAGACAGCGGAGACGCGAACAGGCGGGCAAAGCCCCGTGCGCTCCAGCCCTGCGGCACCGGAGCGGCAGCGCTCGGCGGGACACCCCGACCTGCACCGGGGAGCGGCTCCGGCTGCGGAACCCCCGCGGCTGCAGGAACCGGGGAGAGCCCTGTGCCGGAGCGGAGAGAGCAGCGGGCCCCCGGCGTGCCCGAACAGCCTTGGGGAACCGAGCACCGGGAGCCGGGCACCGGGAGCCGGGCACCGGGAGCCGGGCACCGGGAGCCGGCGGGGGCGCGGCCGCGGCGAGTGCGGGTCCGGGGCTGCGAGCGAGCCGAGCCGTGCCAGTCCATGCCCTAGGATAGACCAGCGTGCCATAGCATAGGCTGCTGWGCCATAGAGAGCCGTGCCTAGCGAAGCCGAGCCGTGCCGAGCCGTGCCTTACCTCCCGGCCGCCGGGCGGGACTGCGGCGGCCACCAGCCCGCAGGCAGCATAAGAGGGGATGCAGCTCGGAGCACAAGGGACTGTAAACAAAGTTCTCGGTGGGAGCGAAACAATCAAGGGACCGGAGCAAATTCAGCGGCGGGAGCTGCGGCGGGCGGGGCGGCAGCGGGACGGTCCCGCTGGGCGCGGGGGGGCCGGGAAGGGTGTCCGGAGCTCCGGGCTGGGCTGGGCACGGGGCCGGGCCTCCTCCCTCCGCCCCGCAGGCACTGCTCACAGCCCGGCTCAGGGATGCGCTCGGCGGGGACACGAACCGCGGGGAATCGGCATCGCGCCCTGCCCGCGGCGGGTCACACACACATGGGGCCGGGGGAGCGAAGTGCAGCCCCCTCTGCCCTCCTGCAGCCCCTCCTGTAACCCCTCTGCCCTCCTGCAGCCCCTCCTGTAACCCCTCTGCCCTACTGCAGCCCCCTCTGCCCTCCTGCAGCCCCCTCTGCCTTCCTGCAGCCCCTCCTGCAGCTCCCTCTGCCCTCCTGCAGCCTCTCCTGCAGCCCCTCTGCCCTCCTGCAGCCCCTCCTGTAACCCCTCTGCCCTCCTGCAGCCCCCTCTACTATCGCTGTTGGCCAGACAGCAGACACAAAATAAGACACAAAGACACACATATTCACAGAACTCATAATACCCTTTATTACGAGGTAAACCCCCTTTTATCCATTTTTCAACAAGTGTATACATTTGTGTCAAACATCCATTGGTCAGTGAAGCTGTCACTTTTCTACTCATCAGCACTGCAAMGAGCTGCAGTGTCGCCAATGTTTTCAGTTCGGCCACCTGTGTTATCAATTCTACATTCCAATCTCTTTTTCTCAGAGGTAGCCAAGGACGTGGTGTTTTTTTCCCATGCAGGCTGTTAACACTCCCCTACACTCTACCCTCCTGCAGCCCCTCTGCCCTCCAGCCCATCCCGGTCACTGCCTATCCCGAGGCTGCTGCAGTGCCAGAGGCGGCCGTGCTGGGTCACCTGAAAGCACAGTCCATGCCGAAATTCAAAGGAACTCCTAGCTCAACTGCTCAGGAGTTAAAGGAGGAGGAACATAGCTTTGGATGGCATTCTTAGGGGATAAAATTCTGTGTATCATTGAGAAATATTTTAGCTGGCTTTTCTAAGCTTTTAATCGCTCGTTTCTGCAGCACATCAAATACTACAGGGTGTGGGTGTGTGTTAWTTTTTACCATTATTTCTCTTATTTCAGACAAAAAGCAGACAAATTATGCTTTTAAGTCTCATAAAAGGCCATGTTTGAGTTTTGTGGTTAAGCTCACACAAAGTTTATATTTAAAAGACACTATTTTATCAATGATTGATAAAAGAGCGGTGTACCAGATGTATTTAATCAGCCACTCTGTCTCTGAAAGCATGCTTGTACTTTTGACTCCCTTTCCAGGGTGAAATCCTGGCCTCAGTGAAATTAATGGCAAAACTTCCATCAACTTTACAGGGGCCGGGATTTCATGCTGTGTATTGTTAAGAACTGCCCAGTGATGGAGACCCTGCCAAGGGTTCATCTCTTTCAACGAGGCTCTGGAAAAGCTCCACAGCTTTAGACAAGAAACTGGTATTTTTGTTTTCCCATTTGCTGGTGTGCTGGTGCTCCCTTCAAATACATCAGCATTTGAGCAGAAATGACAAACTAACTGGATCTGAGGGGAATTTCATTAGGCAGGATCCCTTGGACCATTGTCTGGTCCTTCCCAGTGCAGGCAGCTGTGTCAGTAATATCTTTATTAGATTTGACAAGTTCCACCTAAAAAAAGACAGGTTCCTACTCCTCCTGTTGGAAATTCAAGCCTTATTCTGTTCATATCTAGGAATTTGTTTCTAGCTGCATGGATTCATAGACAATTATACATAGACAAGTAAGGCTTTGGCTGAAGCATCTATTCTTTCTTTTGGCAATTAACCCTCTAGGGCCCTAAGAGGGAGAAATTAAACTCTCTCAGACTTATTCTCGATAATTTTTTTTTAGATGTGGCCTTACCAACTTTCTGCATGGAAGTGAAAGTGTTTTCCTGTCCTACTAGAAATACTAACATTTCATGATTTTCCTCTGATTGTTTGGGATGTCTGGATTTTTCTCCAGTATCAGTTTCATTTTTCACTTTATATCAGAAATTCTTGCTGTTAGCAYATGTGTGCATGACCTAAATTTCACCCCATTCCAATTACATCAATTCCTCTCTARTCCTTCCAGTGCAGTATTTGGTCCTCCTGCACTGACAGAGAACCTCCCWCCCAGGCTTACACCATCCACAGCTCCAATAGTACATTCTTATTTTTCCATGCCAATTTTATTGCTGAAAATATTACATAAAATACTGATTTTTTTACATAAGTGATCTCACAAAACTGATTTTTTTGAGGAACTATTCTGAAGTACACATAAACAAGCACTGAAGCTGGGCTTAGAACTCCTGTTTATGTACAAATAAATGYCCTAACAATAGGTTAAAATGTCACACTATCTCCTAGACTCTGCAATTCTTATTTCTTGCTGTGAAGCATGAAAGCTGCCATGAGAAGTGATGGGAATGACGTCTCCTCTAGGGCTGAGAGATCAGTGGGCTCTCCCCTGAAGGGTGGGTTTGTAGCATTCAGGCACTGAAGGGTCAAATATAATTTGGGACACCAGCCCTGTGGCTTTTTTAAAAAGTCTACCTYAGCCTTTTAAGGTCCTGCTGCGTTCTGAGCATGGCTCTCCAAGGATGTAAGGAAAGAAGGACCAGAGACACCCGGAGCAGCACGTTTGGCACCTGGAGAAATTCAGTGCAAACAGCTGAGGAAACTTCAGGGCYGAGCAACAGCTGCAGTGAGGGGTTACAGGTTCACAGCTCTGGACTGCTGGGTTTCAGTGATACACAACTCCCCTTTAGGACCTGCCTAAATGACAAAATCTCCTCCCTGGGGCCTGAGCACAGCTGCTTAGAGGAAAGTGCAGCCCCAAAGCTGGGCTGATAAGCAAGAACTCTGTGTGATTCTGGAACCCACTGGCGCCTACTGAGAGAGCAGTTTTACTCCTCAATTGAGCAATGCTGTTGCTCTGCCGACTGAAAYACTTGCAGTACTTCATGGCTTCCTTTGAATTTCTAACAGTCTCCTGGGCCTTAACAGCACAGCAAACAGTGATTCACTAATCTGGCAAAGTACAACTATTGTGGGCTCCCTATTCAATCAKTTTTTCTTGCCTCTTCCCTAACCCTTCACTGAATTTGCCTTTATTTTATCCCTAAGACCGCACACGTACACAACACATCAGTTTACTGCATTTACTGAAACTTTCAGAAAGTGCTCTTTCAAYGTGTTGAGTTGTTGTAAATTGTCCTTACCACATCATGCAGTGTTTGTGTTTTATGATGAGGAATGGAGTCTAAAAGGAGCCCAAAGCCAGTTAAGCCAGAGAAGCAAATCATTTCACATAAAATGCTGTAGCTCCTTTATCATTAACACAGTTCACAGCACAGGGGAGTTCAGCCCAGTTGGWTGATAGCTGTGCACACCATCCACTCTGTGGGTGATCAAGCTCATGAAATGGATGTGCTTAGAACGACTGTGAGAAACTTCTTTGGTGGCTGGGAATATRGAAAGGAATTTTCTTTGAACTCCATTAGATCCTACCAGTACTTCAGTCAACATCAGTTATCCTGCTGTGCATGTGAACTTTGTTATTGGCTTCCTTGACTTTCACTTAATCTYCCTGCAGTGCTGAAGAAGACAGGACATCTGGAACTGAAAACAATTATTCTTATCTCCTACTGCTTTCATAATTACATGAAGTTCCCATTTGAAGAGCTGCATTCCTTGTGTGGACATGTGCTTTTAATTAGCAGAGGGATGCATCACACCACCAGAAGCCAATTCCTCAACCTTGCATAAGTTGGTTACAGAACCTCTGAATCTTTGGCTGCCACCGTGGCAGATTTCTGGCCAAGCCTGAGGAAGCCTGGGAGCAAATTCCAGGCACTGTCATTTCACCATAACCAGGATTTTTGTTAGGGACTATTGCAGCAGGATGCAGCAGATTCAGCTGAAATTCAAGTTCAAAACGGGAATGATCTATTTCCTTGGTTTTCCACCTGCACTAAATAACCCAGAAATTTTCAGAGCTCAAAGGTATGAAGGGAAATGCAGACAAAAAGCTRGAAAAGTAATTTCTCCAACTAGGGGATGGTGTCAAGAGATGTTCATTTCATTTGCTTCCCTTCTCAATAGGTAGGGCATAAAGAGCATACACTGCTCTCTCTGCAAATGGTCTGTCTAATGAACATGAACCATTTCAGCCAGTTGTTACTGACTCTTTAGCAGCAGAAAGAAATTTAGGAGCTTTAAGCTAACTTACACAGGCCATCAGCTGAAACACTTCCTGTCTGATGAGTCTTTCTTTGTCCTACCTCACTATAATTCTTACGAATAAATTTATACACAAAAGCTATCTAAAATACTGCACAAAGTTAAAATACACAGATTTTCTCCTACATAACAGATGACTTCTGTGAAATTTACTGCAAGTCATGTGTCTGACCTAAAGGGTAGTAAGAAAGAATACCAAGAATTATTGCAGTAAGATCAATTCTCACTGTTCCCACTAAAGAAAGCTTTTCATATATATCATCTGCTTTAGCATCACCTGCTAAAGGAAATGTTCAGAAATATTTCTACATCCATGTAAACAAGGTAAGAAAATAGAGGGTGTGGTAGAGACAACCATTTACCAAATCAAGCCAAGATCTAAATAAGGCTGGCTTATCTTTTGAATGAATCATTTTAGGTCATGCAGGTAATGGTGAAATCCCTTCKTTCCTACAGCAAAGTTTAAAATTACCCCTCTTTTCTCAAGGTTGGCTGAACAGGTCACACCTCACCATCTTCAGTTTACTTGCACAGGGAGTGTGTTACTTTCYAAAAAAACTGTGGCTAAAAGTCGTAAATCAAAAGTAAACATGGCCAAATGAAAGAGATGGGTTCTGATAGAGTCTGGCATAATAAACTATCTACCAAAGGTAAAAAATGGTTAGTATCAGAAGGCAGAAAAGCTGCAGAACTCCAGTGACTGTCTGAAGCCTTTTCTGCTTGGGTGGAACTCTGTTGAAATGAGATACTCAATACAGATACAGTAATAGTTTGGGGTTAAATTCAACTCTCTGAGGGAAGCCATTATAAACCARTATTAAATGCCCACTTAATACATCTTTTGACAGCTCAGGCAGTGCATGTCTTGTGCTAGTTCTTAGCTAAAATCACCCTAGGTGACCCTTCCTGCCTAAATACACAGGAAAAAAATATATAAAATACATGAAAGTTTTTATGTGGCAGACAGGCTAGATTTTCTGCATATTCTAAAAATGTGAAAAAAACAGATTCCCCTTTGACTCACACCAGAGAGGAGAATATAGACTGCCTTACACATGCATGGCTGTGATGGGAGATGTGATGTTGTTACTTCTCAGCTTTCTGGATAAAGAATTTTCTTCCTGCAAACTGCAAAAGTCATGAAACAATTTGTACTGAAGGTTTTGACATGATGTAGTCAGTAAAGCAACAGCAACAGAAGTTTTGGCTGTGTACAGTAGAAATATGAATGTCCATATTGTATAAATGGTGGGGCAGGACTGTTCACCAGTTTTGTGAAGTTTTCAGAATGCACTGAGTCAAATGGAATGACAATAATATATAAATGTCTGCACAGCAGCTGTTTCCATCTAAATCCCACATCTTTAGTTCATCTTCAAGAATTTCTCAAAGTGCACCAGTGCCACACAGAGACAGATACAGGAAAACACAACATAGCTGGGAGCATTATCCGACATCTGGACACCCATATCCAAAACRCTGAAAATCACCTGGGGCCTGAAAACATCAATGTCATATTCATTGTTGTTCTCACTTCTGGCCATGCATGATTTTCTGATGGAGGAGTTGTCCAGTTTCCTGGTTTCATTCCACACTATCGAATTCATACGATTACTCAGCCTTCAGTAACAGAAAGGTTAGGTGTTAGGCTGGAATTAATACAGATTATTTCCATTCAAAAAAACAGGTGGGAGATTTAGGTACATTAATCCCACTGATAGCCCAAATCAGCAAGTTTCCTTGAGGTGTCATTTCCCTCTGAGAACAGCAGCAGCTAGAATCATAACATCATAGAACAGTTWGAGTTGGAAGGAACATTAAAGATCATCCCATTTCATTCCAATGTCCCTTGTCATGGGCAAAACCTTCCCATACCAGCAAGCCTGGATGAAAACCAGGTATCCTAATTGCTACACTATAGGGTAACTAACCTGCAACCTGAGATCCACTGAGTATGGGCATCAGATCATGGGTGCTTTTGAAACTCGCCCTCGTTGCCCCAGAATAGTAACCCTCTATTTTCATTCCAATGGTATTTATGTCCCTGATCCATGTGTGGGAGTGGATTTTGCTGTATCCAGGCTGCCTTTGGGTTTCTGTTCCCAGACCCAGCTGCCCTGGAGCAGTTGCTGTCCCACAGTTTTGGGGCAGAGCAGTAGAAAGTCAGTCCTGAACTCAYCCCAGCCCACAGCCACTGCCCAGTAGCGCAGATCCTAAAGGACTTGGGTTCAGCTTCTATCCCTAAGCTAAGGGCAACACATGGACATACAAGTGATAAATAACAACACTTACGTAAAGATACAGGAAAATAGAAAATAAACTCTCTTTTCAGAACAGCCTGTGCTTTCTTAGTAATCACCACTCCTTTTTTACCAAGAAAAAGGTCACGTAGTAATGCTTTTTTTAAAGCTTTTGTCCCTAGGGTGGCCTTGTGAGATAAAACTCATTTTTCCATGAAAATGCTGGGGAAAGAGGGAGTGGCCAGGCAGCCGTGGCCAACTTACTGATGCCATGTAGACAACCATAAAATGCAAAACATTGACCCTAAAATGACAGGCACCATTGAGCTGTGATCACTTCAGTCTTTTTGCACAAACAAGGGGATCRTGTAATGTCACAGGCACGTGTCCTTGCTGCATGTTAAAGATCAGCTCCTGACTCACAACCCCTCCTTTTTCATACTGGGTCAAAGTCACCTCCATGCAAATGTGCTACAACTACTTTCTGTTTCACTGAGCCCTGTTTCAGAGAATGAATGGGACTTAAAAGTGAGACAGCAATCTGATAAAAGCTTGGCAAAAGTGAAAAAGTATTTCTGCAAAATAAACTAAATCAGTCTCACCTTCAGGCCATTATTTCATATTCCATTTTAAAGACCAATTCTTCAGCTGGGTGAGCAGCACAGCTCCACTGAAGGCAACTTAGCCAATAATTTACTCATAAAGGATCAGCCATAAGAAATGTATTGCCACAATATTTAGAGAATCAGCCGGGTTGACTGAGAGCATGACATTGTAGTTCATAAAGAACAAAAATAAGCCAAAATATTTATATAAGTTGTATAAACATTAGTAACAATAATGCATGCAAGCATACTACAAAAAATAAAAGAATTGAAATGTTTGCCTTGCAATCTCACTGGAGAGGCAAGAGCGGGTAAGTGTGAGCAGATATGTATCACCATGACTGATRTAATTTTATAAAGGCACTACAGGTCGAGTTCTGCCATCAAATTTACATGCTGGGAGGAAGTTTGTGAGATACCATCTTGCYTTCTGCCAAAATGCTCTCTCCAAAAGTTTTCTGGAGTATGCAAGAATGATGGTCAGTCTGTATGTCCAAACCAGTCAGCCAGAAATCCTCATGCTCTGTTTGCAAACCAATTGAGTGGAACTGGAAAGGACAGCTGACATAAGTGAACTCTTTGTCAAAGAGCTCAGCCACTTGGCAGGGAAGCTAGAAAACTCTACATTATTCCAGCCTTGCACAAAGGTTACCAAGTACGTTGGGTAATGCTGCCAGTGAGCGGGTTTGGTGACGTACTACCACTCAGAGCTRCTTGGGTTTTATTCTGAAGACACAGTGTTCAGCAAGAAAATCTCATTGGAATGAGAAGAATAAAGCTGTTATGAAAACAGATTTACAACTCTCAGGATAAAACCTGGCTTAGTCACATTTTGAGGGCCTGAAGGCTTTGGCTATRTGTGCTAGCCCCACTGTGCTATAGGCAGAGACAATGCAGGAGCCCGAACAAGGTGGGCACATATATTTTTGTGTATTTTTGTACGTTTTCACATTTTAAAACGTGGTTTTACGTATGGATTGTACATATGAGAATATCATATAAAGAACCCGTAACTGTTATACAGCTGAGTAYAACCCTGGCACACCCCAGCAAGGCCCAGCCTGGCAAAGAGGAGGGTTTGGCCAGCAAGATRTGAAATGTGTCCTTGCCAATGGATTCCTCCCGCCCCGGAGCTCAGCCCTGTGCCTTTTCTGCCCGCTTCCATCCCGTCCACCCCAGTGCACCCCACAGTGTTCAATCTCTGTCCTTAGGAGACAGGGAAGGGAAGGCCCTGACCATCRCCCCGCCGGCACTGTCCCCGTCCTGGCACCAGGCCGATGTCACACGCATTTAACGGCACCGCCACGGAGCCCCCGCCGGASCCGGCAGCTCACGGAGCTCCGCGGCAGGGCAGAGTCACCCTGCGAACCCCAGCGATCCCCGAACCCTCCCGGCCTTCAGGCTGAGGGGGCCGGGCGGCCGCGGGGCGGGGCGGAGCGGGTTGCTGTGCCCGCCCGAGAGTGTGCCCGCCCGGCGCCCGGGGATGGAGGGGCAGCCCGAGCTGGAGGGGGCGGTGGGGCCGCCGCGCATGGAGGAGCCGGCATCGCGGCGCTTCTCGGAGGAGCAGTTTTGGGCCGCCTGCCGGGAGCTGGACCAGCCGGCGCCGGCCGCGGCGGGGCCTTGGGAGCTCCTGGTGGAGACGGCGGGCGTGCGGATCTACCGGCTGTTCCACGAGGTGGGCGGGCGGCGGCAGCGCGGCCCGGGCCGGCCGGGGGTG